CCTTGAAGATGCTAAGGGCAGAAGAGTCCAGAAAAGGACAGAGCCAGTGCAAAGTGGGAACGTGTCTCCTGTGCTTAAAAAACAGCAGAATGGTACGTGCACCCTAATGTCCATAGCAGCTCTATTTACAACAGCGAAGACATGGAAACCACCTAAGTGCCCAGCAACAGATGACTGGATAAAGATGTGGTACATATATACAATGGAATATTACTCAGCCATAAAAAAGAATGAAATAATGCCACTTGCAGCAACACGGATGGACCTAGAGATGATCACACTAAGTGAAGGAAGCCAGACAGAGAAAGACAAATACCGTATCATATCACCTATATGTGGAATCTATAAAAAGGGTACAAATGAACTTATTTATAAAACAGAAATATATTCGCAGATGTAGAAAACAAACTTATGGTTACCAGGCAGTGATGGGGGGCGGATAAAGTGGGAGATCGGGATTGATATATACACACTACTATATATAAAATAGATCACTAGTAAGAACCTGCTGTAGAGCACAGGGAACTCTACTCAATACTCTGTAATGACCTATATGGGAAAAGAACCTAAAAAAGAGTGGATCTATGTATCTGTATAACTGAGTCACTTTGCTGTGCACCTGACACTAACACAACACTGTACATCAGCTATAGTCCAATAAAAATTTTAAAAAGAACTGGCAGAAAGGCCACCGTAGCTGAAGCAGAGGGAGTGAGGGGAGGGCCCGAAAGAGGAAGGCGGAGCATGTAGGGCTTCGTGGCCAGTGGGGTGAGTCTGGCTTGCACTGCTGTGGTATGGATGGCCGCAGGGCTGGGGGGCTGGAGAGCAGCAGGGACGTAATGTAATTTACATTTTAAAAGGACCAAAAGCATGGGGGAGAGAGGGGTCAGTAAGGAGGCAGGGAACCCTGTCTAGGAGACCATTGCAGTAACCCAGCAGCAGGGCCGTGGGGGCTGGATTTAGGGTGGGTGCAGAAGAGGCCTAGTGTTTCCTGACAGACTGGATGTGGGCCACCGGGTAAGAGAGGGCTCAGGGACACTTGCAAGTCCTTGGCTGGGGGAACAGCTGAAAAGATGGGGTTGCCATCAACTGAGAGGGAAGGGTTGTTGTAGGAATAGTGTTTCAGGGGATGAAGAGGGAGCAGAGGTGGAAATCAGAAGTTGAGAATGCGTTGATATTAACGCGTCAGTAAGACAACCTCCACCAAAGTTAATACAAGGTGACTGCTGGTTTCTAGCCTGAAGACGATCAACCCCTTGAAGACTGGAACTTAGTCTTTTCTCTGACACCTAGAACAGTGACCGCTTGCAGAGTAAAAACTCAGTGAAATGTATGATGAATTGATGAATGAATAAGTGAATACTGCCCCAAATTAGCACATTAGTGAAAGAGAGTCAGATTTTAAATCTCTAGAGTTATTTTTGGTACAGGATGTAAGAATGAAGAAATTTAACATTTGCAATTTATATTCGGTGGTTATTAAAATATGTTAAATATTGAAACACATAAGGTTTTACTTGTATTTATTGAATAAGATTGGTTTTAATTAGGAAGCTGTGGAAGGTGTATTAACTTTCAAGGAAGACTAGAAGTTTTAAATAATTATTAATTTAATAGTCCCACAACTTGATATAAATTATATAATCTCCAATGCCTAACCACACAGAGGATTTGATGTAATGAATTATATTTTTACGGGCTTTCATGCCTATAGCATAAGTTTACAATTTAAATTATCTAGCAACAGGGGTGGGATAGGGAGGGTGGGAGGGAGGGAGACACAAGGGGGAAGAGATATGGGAACATATGTATATGTATAACTGATTCACTTTGTTATAAAGCAGAAACTAACCATTGTAAAGCAATTATACTCCAATAAAGATGTAAATAAATAAATAAATAAATTATCTAGCAACATACCTGATACAGTCAATGACCCAAAAGACAATGTATAAAGAGATAACCGCATTCGAGATATTTTCACTTGGACAGATGATATATGCTTGTTTGTATTAGGAAATGGTATATCATTCCCTATCTAGTTTTTCTTCCTTTCTTCTGCCCGTGAAACAATCATGAGAGAAACAACCATGAAAGTCCTGTCTTGGAATTACTCTTTACACCTGTTGACAACTCACTCCTCCCGATTTCCCTGGACCTGTTATGCTGTTGCATGGATCACGGGCAAAGCCCTTCTCAGGCGTCCTACCTCTGGAAAGCCTTCCTACCGTACTGTCCTAATCATGTGTAGGAGCTGCCACAGTTTACATGTATCACACTCTAGTATATTTGCTTACTGGCATGTTTGTATCCTCCATAAGACTTTGGATTATCAAAGGCAAGAGTCGTTCTTTAAAAATATATTGAGTTCCCGGCTGTCTAGTACATGAGCAATATGCCTCCGTGTTAGGATGAACTCCCACCCAAAGGCATATCCTCCACATGGATTTTCAGTACTTTTTAACAAGCTTCAAAGACCATATAAGATATATCTCCTACTGGCACCTCTGTTTCCAAAGCTGTGCTAAGTAAGTCTTCGTAAATGTTGTTCAGTTTTGGGGTCGAGGGTCAAAAAGTGATTGAGAGCCTGCTTTTTGGGGGGTGGAGCTTGAAGTAGAAAAGAACAGCTTTATTGCTTTGCTGTTTGCGCAGGCTCGTGCCCTGAAAAACTGTGTGTCCCAACCCGGGAGGATTTGGTGAGGAATTCTATAGCAATGGTTCTAGAGTGGGGTTGTTGATAAGGACCAGGGTGTGTGCAGGGCCTGCAGCTCCTTTAATCTGGCCTCCGGGATCTTCTCTGAGTTCCAACTGGCAGGTTCAAACAGCCACTAATCAAGGAAGGGAGGGGATGCAGAGACAAGGAAGGGGTGGTCAGGAAACAACAGTGCAGCCTGGGGGCAGGGTCCTTGTATTACCTCAAGGGATACACAGAACATGGAAGAGGCTGTGTTTTGTTTTGTTTTGTTTTGTTTTTAACGTCTTTATTGGAGTATAATTGCCTTACAATGGTGGGTTAGTTTCTGCTGTATAACAAAGTGAATCAGCTATAGTATACATATATCCCCATATCCCCTCCCTCTTGCGTCTCCCTCGCTATCCCACTCCTCTAGGTGGTCACAAAGCACTGAGCTGATCTCCCTGTGCTATGTGACATACCATATGCTAACACACATATATGGAATAAAAAAAAAAACTTCTGAAGAACCTGGGGGCAAGAAGGGAATAAAGACACAGACCTACTAGCGAGGCTGTGTTTTTAAACTTTTAAGCCTATGCTCTTTGCGGCGCCCCACAAGGAAGGGCCATCACGATCTTTCTGAAACTTGTCAGAAGAAACCAAAAGGGAGCCACTCTGGAGGGAAATGTTACAGCCAGAAGGGAGCAAAGAAAGGTCACCAACAGAGTGAACTCTGGTGCTAGGTCTTAGCAAAAATGTTAGCAGAATGCATTACCAAAGATCTCTTATCCCCTAAATCCGCTTGCGCTTTCAGGCATAGCACGTGAACTTTAATAATGATATGACTTCTGTGAGACAAGATCATCTCCTTTTGCTTTCATCCTTCTCACAGCCAGTAGCAGTGGGAGGCTACACGATGACTAGCAGAGTGTTCAAAGGAACATCAGTCCCATCTGAGGGTGAATGCCACATGCACGCTCCATCAGAGGACTTCACTGGCAGCACATCTGGGGATGCAGGGAAGCCTGCAATCCCAGCAGATGTGGGCCTCAGTCAGACCCCTGCGGAACAGAAGTAGACAGACACTGATGGGGTCCCCTCCCTTCTAAGCAGCCCCGTTAAATGGTGGCACGCCCACAGGCCCTCAAGCCCTTTATAAATGTATATGTGCTGAATCTCAGTCAAGGTCACCTACTTTAGAGAAAAAATTAGCTCTGGGCTATGCTTTAACATCCTATGGGATGCTTTCCTAAATTTGACATTGAATTAATAGGATCCATTTACACACCCCAAAGTAGAAAACTTAAAAGTTTCTAATTCTTATCTAGCACCAGTCTCACAGCCAGATGCAAATTTAAAGCCAAACATATCTGTTTTTTCAATTTGTGCAGAAACAACAACATCAACAAAACTTCTCCAGGATGTATGAACGTAACTATGAGAGCAACTGAAATAACACTGCCCCGGACTGGTTCTTGCACAACCTGCATTATAATACACAGATAACACAGATAAACAGATCACTATACATTTGACAATATTCTGCAGCTTTTATTTTTCATAAACCTAGTCTCAAAAAGTGAACATGATCTCATCTCACTCACTCTTCCTCCCTCAGGTTTTACTCTTATCTCTGCTCTCAATCAGGTGACGAACAGAAGAAAAAGAAACCCCTTCCTATCAACAGCAGAAATATGTCATATTTGGAGGTAAATATATGCATGTATGTATATACACAATAAAGTACACTGAATAAACCAGTGAAGACCTCAAGGTGTCCAGACACACAGAGAATAGAAGATGAGTCTGGATAGCGCTTATTACAGAGCAGTGCGTGACATTTAGCGTTCAAAGTTTCTTTGATTACATAAATCATTATATTTATTTTGTTAATTATGAAAACAAATTGAGACTTTTATCTTCTTCCTAAGGTGTCCCAGAGAACAGGCTACTCACCCGCAGTTGGATAGAGATGAGGGTGGATGGGGAGAGGGAGGGAGAGGGGAAGGGGAGTGGGGAGGGGAGG